GTCCCTAGGGCTTAAGAGGCCAGAGCTCAGTTCTTGGCCCTGTTACTATGGTCAGGCTAGGAGGCCTCTGAGGTCTCAATCAGTAAAGGGCATTGGACAAACTGACCTCACAAGGCTGCCCCAGCTCTGCTGTTCTGTGTGTAGAGTCAGATGCCATATCCTCTTGTTCTGAATTATGGTCAGACCTGGGCAGGTCTATTTCCAGACCAGGCAGTGAACAGTTAGATTCGCTTTATTGGCATTGTGATTTCTCAAGCCCAGACCTGGCTCTAGCAGATCCAACAGTTTACTGCATTGACTCAGTCAACTCAAGGCAGTAGATGAGTTCATCTAAATTCGACAGGGTTCATACATGATTGGATTAATTTTCCTAAGGCAAGAACACAAGTGGACAGGCTTCTTGGGAAAGGAGGATGGGGACAGTTTTATTGTGGATTCACTCCAAATTCATTTATGGCCCCCTTGCTCCAAACAAAAAAGTAGTCCCTGGTTTGGCATTGCTCAATCAGGTATAATCCAGAATAGCGGTTCTCAACCTATGGTCGTGAGCCCTTTGGGGGTGAAACGACCCTTTCACAGGGGTCGCCTAAGACCATCAGAAAACACATATTTCTGATGGTCTTAGGAACCGAGACACCACTCCTCTATCTGAAAATAATTTTATGGTTAGATGTCACCACAACATGAGGAACTATATTAAAGGGTCATGGCATTAGGAAGGTAGAGAACCACTGATCTAGAAGATGAAGACATGTGTTCAAGAGTTTTTGGTGGTAGAGCTTCCTACAGAAAAGCTTGAGTTCTTTTACTGTGATGCTACCTGGAACCTGAAATGTAGTCAGTCCTAGAACCCTGAGTAACGAAAGAGTTGATAGATGAAATAAAGAGGATGTGGCAGGGACGGGGCTTAGCAGGCTTTATAAGCTGTAATGGGAGATGGGGATAAGGTCCAGAGGATAATCTATAGCTTAACACTCATGGTTCTTCTGAGCCTACCAACGCATATTTAATATATGCATGAGAATCCACCCACTTGCATTTCACAAGAGGAGGCTGAGCAGTGAATTACCTGAAGTCATACAGCATCTCAATGGCCAAACTGCAACCATAACCCAAGTCTTCTGCCACCCAGAGTATGGCTTTCCCACCTGTTGGATGGGAAGCTCAAGGGCCTCATTATTAATAGCACACATGAAGAGATGGAGGTGAATTGTCACCAACTTTAATAGACTCTGGTTGTATCTGCCAAAGCAGACTGACTTGGAGGTGTCTAAGAGCTCCAGCTTCTGTAGTCCAAAAGGGCCAGTCCACTTGGATGAGTTCCTGCCTCTCCCTTCAAAGGAACCAGCTGGCCAAGGAGAACTAGACAATGATTTTACTGTTTGTGCAACTCATTAGCAGAGACCCATTCCAGGGAGCCTCTGGACAAAGCCAACAGATTGCCACTGGCCTGTCAGAAAGATGGAGGAGGGGTCCCCCCAATCCAGCCCGAGGCAATGAAAGCTAACTGACTTTAGACAACGATACTTAATCTTGGGGGAGGGCTGGGTCACAGACTACCTGAAAGCTATAAATGACCTTGTCCCACCTCAAAAGTAAATGCACTTACATCTCAATTTTTGCATTCAGTTTCAGGGGGTTCACAGGTTAAAAAGAATTCAACGAAGAACTCTTGCACTTGTGCTTTTGCTTGCCACAGTGTTTTTTAGTAAAGAGAAAACCTAGCAAGCACCCTGCTTGGGTTGCCTCCTCCCTCTTCCTGATGCAGCCTTTCTGCTTGGCCGGACTCTGCAAAGCCCTTCATTAACAGAGTAAGCAGAGCTACTGCTTTCCCCCTCTGTTTCTCCTCACTGCATTAGACGGTTATCGTGTCTTCCAGGAGCTTCCCAACCTTTTGGAGTGCAGGCAAATCCAGCATCGCTCCAGGATCTCCTCAAAGGCACCCACACTCTTCCACAATCATGTCTTTATGGTGATCTAGGAGCACCCTGCCATTGTCCACATACAGCATGCTCAGAGGCTTGGTCTTCACTGGGGCACAGCAGGTAGAAGGGACTCGGTGGGGCTGATAATGTTTGAGCAGACTCTGCAACAGGGAGGAGAGGAGAGTCAATTCCTATTCCAATGGGAAGATCAGAATAGGACTATAGCTGAGTAACGGAAAAAAATAGTTACTGAGTTAAAAATCAGCTTCTGGGACGGTGTCTGTGGCTCAAAGGCCCCATATGCCAGAGGTGGCGGGTTCAAGCCCAGCCCCGGCCAAAAACTGCAAAAAATAAAATAAATAAATCAATCAGCTTCTGAGTGCAAAAATGGAAAATTATTTTCATTTCATAAAGGAATCAGCATGTCCGTGTATCACCAACTCTGTTGTCTGGACGTTAGCTCTATTTTGTTTTTTTTTAGAAAAGCCTTTAAGGCTTTTTTTTCACAGGGCGGTGCCTCAAAACCATAGGGCGCTGGTCCCATATGTAGGAGGTGGCGGGTTCAAACCTAGCCCTGGGCCAAAAACAAAAAAGCCTTTAAATAGAAAGATTCAAAAAGTTACATGTGTCTGGGTAGAGTAGTAGCTAATTTATACCATCTATTCTTCTAATCTAGAATGAATACCAATATTCTAAGAAACTCCTGGTTTAGTTCTAGAAATATGATTCACATGGAAATTCCTGTGGGATTAGCTTTGTTGGCCAGAGAAGGGCAGATAAGAGTCAATAGGAGAAAAGGTAACAACCTCTTGGCATTTTGGAAGCAGGCCCTGTCCCTGTGATCTAGCCAAGTGTTTTCCGATCAGTGTCAGAGCTGGCCATTGGGACTATCTGGGCCTCTATGGTCATGCTGCAGGTGGCTTGGTAGAGTGCATGGCACTTGAGTGAAGCTCACCAGGCCTTTGCCCAGGAAAGCTCTGAGGCTCTGGCCCTCCAGTGCCTCCCTTGCATGAGCTCAGCTAACATGCTTATGTCCCCAGAGCCCCTGAACCAAAGTGACACTTGGCAAGGAGGATACTACAAGTCAGTAAAATGAAACACTTTGGCTCCATATGATCTTTCAAGTACAGGGCAAGGCCACCTTATTCGGCTCTATTTTCTGTTCTTTGTCTCATATTCCTTCCTAACACCAGTCCTTGTGTTCCTACACCATAGGCTGATTAGTGGCACCTGGTGGTAGCCTCCGGTCTTGTCTACTCCCGTGAAATAAGTAGTCAGTTCCTGTTTCTGGCAGCAAAAATACTGTGGTTGGAACGGTATTATTTTAATTGTAACCCTGGCGCCATAAACATGGCCCCTATTTCGTATACAACATACCTATAACCCACCAACCACCATCCATGCAGTATGCATATCATCTTGTTAACGCTACAGCATCTCTATGAAAGATGGCATTGCCACCCCAATTTACAGGTGAGAAAGCAGGCTGGAATGAGTAAACAACTTGATCAATATCACATAGTAAGGAGTTAAATGCAGGCCTGTCTCTAAAGTCTAGCTTCTGAACTTCCTTTCCTAGAATGTCAAGCTGAGGAGGAGCTAAGACCCTCTGGTCTATCCTCCATTCCCTAATTTTATGAAAGACAAGGAAAAAGCCCTAGGGAAGCAATTTGTTCAAGGTTACCCAACAAGATATGACTCCATGTACGCTCCAAGAGGATGCTGTGACTGGGTCTAGCACAGGGACTGTCACACTGTAGGTGCTTAATAACTGAAAGAATGTCCCCCAAGGAGTATGTCCCCATTGCTTCATACCTCCCCTTCCCCTCCAACCCTGGTAGCACACCTGGATGTAAGCGTGATTGGTGGGATGGAACTCCTCCCCCACAGGGTTAGGACACTCGCCTTCACAGCGATAGGCATTGTACTGCTTGGGGTAGATGATCCAGGAACCCCATCCAATCAGGTTAAAGTCCACCTGGAATTTGACCTTTCGACACAGTTGGCTTCTGTCTGGCAAGTGATGTCGACGGTGCCTCCTGCCCCTCTCGGGGAAGAGTTGTCCCTCTTGGGCCCGCCAGGAGCTCTCAGCTTCCCATAGCAAAGTGGAGCTGCCCAGCCGCCTCCGCTCCAACGAGAGATTTGAGTAAAGCACAAGAAGCACACTGGCGACAGGCGGTGCAGACGGCCGCTGCCGGCAACTAGACATCTGCTCCTCCAGTGCCTCAGGGTGCTTTAGCCACTTAGAGAAGGGCCTGGTCACCTCTAGGATCATGCTTCCTGAAGAAAAGGTGACCTGAGACAGAGTGACAGTGAACTGGTCCATCCAAAGCCGCTTCAAGCAGTCACCTTGGGCCTGCTCCAAATCTGGCTTTAGCTGGTGGAAAATCTCAATGGAAAGTGGGCCCTCAGCAGGTAAGTCCACAGCACCAGACAGCTGCAGCCGGAGCTCAGCCCACACCAGATCCTCTTCTTGGCTCAGGAAGGAGAAGTCAAAAGCAAAGGTCCAGTTCTGCCCATCTACCTCCACATCTGGGTGGGAGAAAAACCAAGAAGGAAGCAGGGTAAGTGGGGGGCCCCCAAACGCAGTCAGTATAATCACCACCATGGCTCATGCTGGAGTCCTTACTTTGTATGAATCATCTCTTTTTTACTTTATTTAGAGACAGAGTCTCACTTTATTGGCCTCGGTAGAGTGCTGTGGCATCACAGCTCACAGCAACCTCCAGCTCTTGGGCTTAGGCGATTCTCTTGCCTCAGCCTCCTGAGTAGCTGGG